ATCACTGTATTGCATTGCATTAAAACTACAGAGCTTTGATCATAAAACTAAACTTTTAAATATCATCTTACTAAGACGTTATTGACAGATATTGGTATTTATATGCATTTATGTAAGTATCTGCTATACTGTAATAAAGATCTCGGTGATTTACATTACAAGCATCAGAATTTCATCACTAATTGTACATCATAATCAAACTGCAAAAAATGCTTTTCTTACTTAGTATTTCTGTCTTGTTTCCAGTCCAAATATCAAAAAATTATTAAATCAAGATGCATTTACTAAAGTAGTGAAATTACATATTTGACATGATGACATGATATTATGATGTCTTGTTTTCTGGGGAAATAAATCAAAATAAAGTGAGCAAAATTATATCACAATGGAGTAAGAAAAATCATCAATTCAATTCAAACAGAAAAAGGATTTTTTTTTTTAAAGCAAAAACTCACTTAATTTTGATTTTTTTTCCCCAGAAAACAAGACATAATATCTTATGGCATTTCACTACTTTAGTAAATGCATCTTGATTTCATAATTTTTAGATATTTGGACTGGAAACAAGACAAAAATACTAAGTAAGAAAAGCATTTTTTGCAGTGAGAACTAAATCAAGAGTATATGAGCCACGAAAGCCTGATGTATGAAGTATGAAACTCGACAAAAACACATGCAAACTTCTTTATACTTTGTCTAAAGGTTCAATGAACTGTTCCATTTAAAAAAAAGCTTGACTATTATTTTATATGTCAGGCTTTACAGGATTAAGAAAGTGAATGGAGTTGATTTTGAGTTCATCTTGACTTAACACTGCTTTAAACTCTCTCACTCTCTCACACACACGATCTCTGGCTCTCTCTGCTGATTGGCTCGCGGGGGATGTGATGCGGTAACCATGGCGACTGGAGTTTAATTCTCTCATTACGGCTCAGTGTGTGTGATGAGGGTTTGTGTCTGTCTCAGGTTAGACTTTATTCCAGTGAAAGTCATTGGCTGCTTTAGTAGGGTTTGTGTTTCGGTGTTTCTATGAGGAAAACCTTTCAAATAAACTCCTGACGAGTTCTTTGTTTTTCCAGAGTCTCACGTGACCTGCTGTTTATAGAGTATCAAGTGTGTAACTCGTCTTTAATCCCATAAAGCCAGATTTCACTTCGTCTTCATGATCTAATGTCGCCTCAGACTCCAAAAGCTGACTGTATTTGTTCAACCTTTAGAGGAACATTGAGGATTTTATGATGGAATAATCAGATGAGACAAAGCTTAAATCATCCTCAAATAAACCTCGTCATTGAGGAAATAAAGAAAAATATGAAAACTCTTTATGAGGTGCATCGAAGAATTTAGAATGTAAATGTTTAAAATTATTGTTTTATTTCTCAAAATTGAGTGTAGAAACTTTCAGAAGACTAGTTTATTAAGATGATTATTATATTAATAATAAATATACACGTTGCTCTATACTATACACGTCTCTTCTCAGCAAAGCTGCAGTTATTTGATCAAAAATACAGTAAAAATTGTGAAATATTGTTATAATGTAAATCATCTGTTTTCTATGTGAATATACAGTAAAGTGTAATTTATTCCTGTGAATTTTCAGCATCATTACTCCAGTCTTCAGTGTCACATGATCCTTCAGAAATCACTCTAATATGATGATCTGATGCTCGAGAAACATTTATGATTATTATCAGTGTTGAAAGCAGTTGTGCTGCTTCATATTTTTGTGGAAACCGTGATATATTTTATTTCTCGGGATTCTTTGATGAATAGAAAGCTCAATAATATGTATAGCATGAATGCACTGTACGTTGCTTTTAGATCTACTAAAAGTTTGATCAAACTCTAGAGTGATGCAAAATTGTTTCTAAGTGTGTTTGTGTCCTTTTAGTATTAGTCCTTTCAATGTTTCATTAATATTTCACGTTTATTTACCTGCTCTTGTTGTTCAAGCTCCAGCGATACTGACTGGAAGAGTCTCTATAGTGGGCAGAACTATTTTCACGCTCTGGGTTTTAAAATATTCATCAGTGAAGCCCCCCCCCGACTTCAACATCCACAGGCCTGTTATTATCCTCAGACTGAGAAATATCGGTGCATGATTGTGAATGCTGCTAGTGAAGCGTTTTGGAGACCACTGTGGATGGCTGGACAATAGAGCTTTGTTGTGTGAATGTAGGTCACAATGTGTGTGTGTGTGTCTTTGTGTTCTCATTGATGCTTGTTCTGCTCTTGCTCAGACACATACATAATTTCATTTTATTTTGAAGAAAATGTGAGTATTGTATGCAAAACTCGCTGGCATTATGATTGAATGTTGTGTGTGGTTGCCAGGGTGTTGCTATGTGGTTGCAAATGTTGTGTGTGGTTACCAGTGTGTTGCTAATGTGTTGTGTGTGGTTGCCAGGGTGTTGGTATGTGGTTGCAAATTTTGTGTGTGTACTTATGTGTTGTATGTGGTTGTCAGGGTGTTGTTGTGGTTGATAATATGTTATGGGTGGTTGCCAGGGTGTTGTTATGTGGTTACAATTTTTTTGGGTGGTTGCTAGGGTGTTGCTATGTGGTTTTTAGGGTGTTGCTAATGTGTTATGTGTGGTTGCCAGGGTGTTGCTGTGGTTGCTAATATGTTATGGATGGTTTCCAGGGTGTTGCTATGCGGTTGCAAATGTAGTGTGTGGTTGCACGTGTTATGTGTGGTTGCCACTGCCAGGGTCTTCTTGTGGTTAATATGTAACGGGTGGTTGGCAGGGTGTTGCTATGCAGCTGCAATTGGGTTTTGGGCGGTTGCTAGGGTGTCGCTATGTTGTTCCAAATGTTGAGTGTGGTTGCCAGGGTGTTGCTATGTGGTTGCTAATGTATTGTGTGTGGTTGCCAGGGTGTTGCTAGGCAGTTTCTTATGTGTTGCGGGTAATGGCAGGGTGTAGCTGTGGTTGCTAATATGTTGTGGGTGTTTGCAATGGTGTTGCTATGTGGCCTGCCCTATATTGAACTTTATTCTTGTCTAGCAGCAATAATTGAAATATTAAGGAGATTACATTTGTGATTTTAATCACCCTCATGTTGTTCTAATCCTGAATGACTTGATTAATTTTTGTGTGTGTAACACAATAGGGGTCTTTTCTGTGTGTTTGTTGTGTATATTTCTGCTTGTTGTGGTATCATGTGAGCGTGGAGCATCACTGGTGTCTCAGTAGGAGGAGCACTCTGTTATGTTTGCCGTGTGGTTGTCAGTTTAACAGGGCACAAGCACAGCTCTGCTTCGCGCCACGGAGACGCACACACACACACACACTCTCTCTCTTCAAACTGGTCTCTGAGCCATATGCGCTACAGATGGGTCAGTCTCTAGAGCTGGCCCTAGGGTCCGAGGTCGTTAATCAGGGATCTAAGTGCTGCCGGACTGCAGCAGAGAGAGGAATAATGTGCCATAATCAGACGTCATCCGCACATCAGGATAATTTATGCCGCTTTTACCTCTCCTAAACAGGCACTTAACAGGGCAACCTTGCACTCTAGATATTAACTCTAGAAAATTGTTAATTTCTACTGAATAATGTCTTTTATAATTATGACATGTTGCTTGTCATTTGGTTTAATGGTGAAATGTGTAGCCCATATTTTTTTTTACCGAAAAATTAGATATATCATAAAGACTCTGAAGTGGAGTCTTATCTTGTTAGGCCAGTAAGCAGCCACTTAGCAACACCCTTGCAACCACCTAACAACACCTTTGGAACTACCTTGCACACCCTAGTAACAACCAAAAGAAACACCCTAGCAACCACCTAGCACACTTTAAAAGCCATTTAGAAACACCATAGCAACACCCTGGCAACTACCTAACAACACTTGGTGTGAGTGTGTGTGAGTGAGTGAGTGTGTGAGTGAGTGAGTGAGTGAGTGAGTGAGTGAGTGAGTGAGTGAGTGAGTGAGTGTGTGTGTGTGTGTGTGTGTGTGAGTGAGTGAGTGAGTGAGTGAGTGTGTGAGTGTGTGAGTGAGTGAGTGAGTGAGTGAGTGTGTGAGTGTGTGAGTGAGTGAGAGAGTGAGTGAGTGTGTGAGTGAGTGAGTGAGTGAGTGAGTGAGTGAGTGAGTGTGTGAGTGAGTGAGTGAGTGAGTGTGTGAGTGTGTGAGTGAGTGAGAGAGTGAGGGAGTGTGTGAGTGTGTGAGTGTGTGAGTGAGTGAGTGAGTGAGTGAGTGAGTGAGTGAGTGAGTGAGTGAGTGAGTGTGTGAGTGAGTGAGTGAGTGAGTGAGTGTGAGTGAGTGTGTGAGTGTGTGAGTGTGTGAGTGTGTGAGTGAGTGTGTGAGTGAGTGAGTGAGTGAGTGAGTGTGAGAGTGAGTGTGAGAGTGAGTGAGTGAGTGAGTGAGTGAGTGAGTGAGTGAGTGAGTGAGTGAGTGAGTGAGTGAGTGAGTGAGTGTGAGAGTGAGTGAGTGAGTGAGTGAGTGAGTGAGTGAGTGAGTGAGTGTGAGAGTGAGTGAGTGAGTGAGTGAGTGAGTGAGTGAGTGAGTGAGTGAGTGAGTGAGTGAGTGAGTGAGTGAGGGATTACAGGCTTGAGTAGTCACTGTCTCTCTCTCTGAGCCTCTAATCATTTTTACTGTGAAAGATTTGAGCGCGCTCACTGAGACACTATTCCTCTGCTAGTGTTTGCATGCATGAATCGTTTGCATCCCTTAATGTTTCGCTCTAAAATGTTGTAGAAACCAAGGAACAATAACTTTTGGAAATTCTAGCATATTAATAATTCAGAGCTGAATGTGAATGAAACAGAATAACCTTAGTCTTGTGTGTTTCGGTGCTCAATATCATAAATGTTGATGGATTTTTATTTATTTATTAAAAAGCAACCAAAATAGCATTTATTTTGCACTCAGAAAATGTGCATCATGTCAGTGTTATTTGAGTAACACAATAAGGTTTCATTTGGCTTGTGTGAGATTCACTCTGTTAAACTTGCTCATGTTCAAGTGTGACTCAGTGTCGTCTCACCCTTGTCTCACAGCGAGCTCATCCTGTCCAACATTGATGTCGGGGTTTCCGGTAATTGGCAGTGTCACGTGACCAGTTCCCGTGGCAACAGCTCAATCGGCATGGAGATCGTGGTTCTGGAGACGACAGCGCTGTACTGTTCGGCCGAGAGGGTCAATAGCAACAAGGGTGAATTCAGGTGCGTCTTCAGCTAGAGAAGCATCACACTCACACACACTCACGCCGTTACTTAAATATCACTTCACTTTGATTGTAATGCACCACTTGACGCACCATAGCAGCCACATAGCAACACCATTCAACCACCTAGCAACAACCTTGCAACCTAGTAACTGAATAGCAGCATCCTTGCAAACACCTAACACACCCTAGAAGCCACATAGCAACACCCTGGCAACCACCCAGCATACACTGGCAACCACATAGCATCACTCTTGCAAACTCCTAGCACACCCTGGCAACCACCTAGCACACCCTGGCAACCACCTAGCACACCCTGGCTACTACCTAGCAACACCCTTGCAATCTAGTAACCGCGTAGCAACATCCTTGCAAACCAGATGCACATACTAACAAGTACTCAGGAACACCCTAACAGCACACACGCACACAGAGAAGCCACAGCTACAGAAGCCCAGCCAACCATCAGAAACATCACAATCACACACAGACACCGTTACTTAAAAATCACTTCACTTTGATTGTGATGCACCACTTAACGCACCATAGCAGCCACATAGCAACACCGTTCAACCACCTAGCAACACCCTGACAACCTAGTAACCAAATAGCATCATCCTTCCAAACACCTAACACACCCTAGAAGCCACATAGCAACACCCTTACAAACACCTAACACACCCTAAAAGCCACATAGCAACACCCTGGCAACCACCCAGCATACACTGGCAACAACATAGCAACACTCTTGTAAACTCCTAGCACACCCTGGCAACCACCTAGCACACCCGCGCAGCCACATAGCAACACCTAAGCTAACATGTAGCACACCCTGGCAACCACCTAGCACACCCTAGCAACCACATAGCAACACGCTTGCAATCTTGTAACCGCGTAGCAACATCCTTGCAAACCACATGCACGTACTAACAAGTACTCAGGAACACCCTAACAGCACACACACGCACACACACACACACACATACACAGAAGCCGCAGCTATAGAAGCCCAGCCAACCATCAGCAACATCACACTCACACACAGACGCTGTTACTTAAAAATCACTTCACTGTGGTTGTGATGCATCAGTGCCTCTTTTCTCCTCTGTTGTATTTTAATGGCTGTTCTCTGATTGGTGCTTCTATAGCTTCATGTTCTGTGTTTGTGCAGGACACGTCTGTAATGGGCTGGAAAATCTGTCTGTTGTTACCAGAGGAACTAGTGTCATTTATTACTGAGCATTTGTGCCTCACTTGATGGCAGCAAATGGACACTGTTCATCTTCACAAACCCTAAATGTGTGATGTGTGACCCTAAATGTGTAAACATGATCAGTTTCTCGGAAAGACGCTTAAGTCACACCTGCACTGCCGTTTTAAGAGTTTAAGGTCAACCATCTAGCATAGCAACACCCTAATAACCACAAAGCAACATCCTTGCAAACACCTTGCACGTACTAACAACTACACAGGAACACCCTGACAACCACATAGCAACACCCTTGCAAACACCAAGCACACCCTGGAAACCACCTGACACAACATAGCAGCCACATAGCAACACCCTGGCAACCACATAGCAACACCCTTGCAAACTCCTAGCACACCCTGGCAACCACATAGCAACACCCTTGCAACCACCCAGTATACCCTGGCAACCACATAGTAACACATTTGCAACCACCCAGCATACCCTGGCAACCACATAGCAACACCCTTGCAACCACCCAGCATACCCTGGCAACCACATAGCAACACCTTTGCAACCACCAAGTATATCCTGGCAACCACCCAGCATACCCTGGCAACCACATAGCAACACCTTTGCAACCACCAAGTATATCCTGGTAACCACCCAGCATACCCTGGCAACCACATAGCAACACCTTTGCAACCACCAAGTATATCCTGGCAACCACATAGCAACACCCTTGCAACCACCCATCATTCCCTGGCAACCACATAGCAACACCCTTGCAACCACCCATCATTCCCTGGCAACCACATAGCAACACCTTTGCAACCACCCAGCATATCATTTGGCAAAAAAGTTTACACGTATACATGTCAGTTACATGTATAGTTTGGTTGTAGTTAATGGATGATGTTGATCATAAATCCACTAAAAATGACAGAAACACCAGCGGATTCAATAACATTGAATCACAGTGGTCAATCGGTCAGTGAAGAGAACACACACTTGATCTGCTGAATCACATTCACATGCTGTTTTCTCAGGTGGCCGAAGACATTGGCTGGTTTCCTGGCGTTCCTGCCGTGTGCGATGGCCAGCGTTAGCTCCGCCTCTAGCCCCGCCCCTCAGGAGAAGAGGG